CCTCTAGAAACTTTTAAATTACATTTGTTTACTGTGTGTGTCATGACATACACGCACAGATCAGAGGACAACTTGTGGGACACAACCTGTCTAGGTTATGAGGCTGAGCGGCAGGCACCTTTACACAGTGAGCCATCTCACAGGCCCACATTTTGGAACATCTTGTTAAAATTTAAAAAATATCTTAGATATGGACTTTTAGAGGCTAGTTATGCAGAAAGTATCAATAACATATAAGCCATATGCTACTTATACTAGCAGAAGACAAGGGCACTTAAGGGGATGCAAAGATGAACTTCTTCACACATGCTGCCCATGCTGGCCTCCAACTTCAGTCCTGCCTCAGCCTCCATGCTAGGGTTGCAGATGCATGCTACCATGCCCAGCTGAAAGATGTTCCTGATGTATGACTGCTGTATAGGAAACAGCATCTATAATATTCAAATGAATATTGGACAATTATTATCTGAAGTTACTATGGGGATGGGAAATTACTGATTCTTTTGATTCTTAAAATTTAAAAAAAAAAAATGTATACAATAGTCTGTCTACATGTATGCCTGCAGGCCAGAAGAGGGCACCAAGACCTCATTACAGATGGTTGTGAGCCACCATGTGGTTGCTGGGAATTGAACTCAGGACCTTTGGAAGAGCAGGCAATGCTCTTAACTGCTGAGCCATCTCTCCAGCCTGATTCTTATAATTTTTTAAAGTTGCTATAATGAATCTATTTTATAAGAAAGTACTTTATAATCCTGCAGAGGAAGAGGAGAAAGGAGTATAGGAGCCAGAGGAGTCAAGGACATCATGGGACAGCGCACACACAATCACCTAACCTGGCCTCATAAGGGACTCGTAGAGACTGACAAAGAGCCTGCATCAGACTGACCTAGGCACTCTGCACATGTTACAGTTGTGTAGCTTGGTCCTCTTGGGGGACTCCTAACATTGATAACAGGGGCTCTCTCTGACTCTTTTACAGGTTTTTGGGACCCTTCTCATACTGGGTCGCCTTGCCTAGCCTTAATATGTAGGGGAGTGCTTAGCCTTCCTGCAACTTGATATGCCAGGTTTTATTGATACTCATAGGAGACCTATCCTTTTCTGAATGGAGAAAGAAGAGAAGGGGATTGAGGGTGGGGTGGGGTGGGGTGGGGGAAAGGAACTGGAGAGGGAGGGAGTCGGAGGGAAGTATGGGTGGGGGCTACAGCCAGGATGCAAAGTAAATAGAAAAAAAACAAGTACTTTGTAATAAAGGCAGCAGAGGGGAGGCCTATTTCAACCATGTGAGTTAAGCTGAATGAGAGTGGAAATAGCCTTGATTTGTCCTCTATGACATCCTTCCAATTAGAATCTCTTCTCTGCACCTGCTGGGCAGTGGTGGTGTGCACATTTAATCCCAGCACATGGGGGAGGGGACAGAGGCAGGTGGATTTCTGTGAGTTTCAAGGTCAGCCTGGTCTAGAGTGAGTTCTAGGACAGCCAGAGCTACACAGAGAAACCCTGTTTCAAAAAAAAAAAAAAAATACAGGAAGGATGCATCTTGAATAAAAGGTACTTCGGCTAAAAAGGTGAGGAAAAGGTCCTGCAAAGTCAGCAGTAGTGAATATCTGTAATCCCAGATCTCCCCAGGGATGGGGGCTGGGGGAGCACTTGACAATCAGCCAGAAGCTTGTGGGCCAGCTATCTTGGCTCTTCTGTGCACAAGAGGGAGGAAGAAAGGGAAAGAGGGTGCGGTAGAGGAGAGATGTCTCAGAATGCAAGGTGGGAGCAGGTAACATGGCTCAGTGGGGAAAGCTGCTTGCGCCAAGGCTAATGGCCCACACGGTGAAGGGAGGGAACCAACCCATACAAGTTGTCTTCCGACTTGTGCACCCACTGGCACATATGAATGTTTTCTTTATTAAAAGGTGGAAGAATAAAGTAGTTCCCTGACTTCTACACATGTGGCCTGGAGACACATGGGCACATCATGTTCACACACAAATAACTTTGCAGTGATGTTGCTATATGTAATTGAATGACAAGAAGTATTGTTCTTGCTTTTAATCAATCTGGTATCCTTTCAATTAAGAATTTTGAGGGGAAGGTTTGAGACAGGGTTTCTCTGTATAGCTTTGGAGTCTGTTCTGGAACTCACTCTGTAGGCCAAGCTGGCCTTGAACTCACAAAGATCTGCCTGCCTCTGCTTCCTGAGTGCTGAAATTAAAGACATGCACCGCCACTACCTGGCTAAAACCTTTTTAACAAGGAAAACAGTTCAAAATAGCCAATGTGCTGTGTGTGTGTGTGTGTACACACATATATGTATATATCTCACATGGTGGCATGCTGTATTCACTCCTTTTGCACTGGTCTGTTCTGGTTCTATTTAAAAGCGAAAGTGATATCCACATAGGACAAGGCTGATGTGGGATGTCCCTCTGTATGCTGTTCTAGTACCATTGGGTAATAAAGAAGCTGCTTTGACTTATGGCAGGGCAGAATCTAGCTAGGCAGGAAATCCAAACAGACACAGGGAGAAACAAGGTGGTTTCAGACAGATGCCAGCAGCCACAGGAGAAGCCAGATGAGGGGTTAAAAAGCCATGAGCCTTGTGGTAAAATAAAAAACTGTAGGAAGATAAGGCCTACAAGGCTGAGAGATGAGCCAACCTGCAGTCTGCCTGAGGGCCTAGCCTAGTGCTGTCAGAGGTCCTGATGCTGCCTCGCCAATGAGGGATGGACATGCAATGTCAGTGAAGGGGAACGCAGCCTGGATGCTGGGAGGAGAGCATACAAGGCTCTCCCCATTACTGAATAAACGAGTCTGCCATTTGCCTTTACCTGACTCCCGGTGTCTATGCCATTGACACCGTGCCTTCTCACCCGCTCCCCCAAGGGAGCCGTTAGGTGCCCAAGCAGGGACTTGAACCCTGGACTCTCAGATAGAAATGGGTTAATTTGAGTTGTAACAGCAAGTTAATAATAAGACTGAGCTAATAGACCAAACAGTTTATAATTAATATTAAGCCTCAGAGTGGATATTTGGGAACTGGTAGGTGGGAGAGAAACCTCCAGTTACACAAGGCTTAACCTTTTTTTTTTTTTTTTTTTTTACTTAAAAGTTACTGAAATACTGTTGCAGTTATGGAAATTTAAAACATAAACCTGCCAACCTTTTCTGGTGTTAACTTCATAAGTTCCATATTTTCCATACTGTGTCTTCGTCCCAGCTTGGAGCGTGAACCTTTGTAAAAAATTAAAAAAATTAATTCAAATAATCCAGGGAGCCCTTCAGAACACAAACTTGGCATCGCTACATGATTCCACTCTCACATCTGATCCACAAACCCTCGTGGAAGGAGCACAGCATTTAAAAAGAGTAATTATTTTCCACACAACTTAAAAATAGAGTCCCTCTAAAACGCTTTGATGTCAGAAGCCACATTCTGGCTGCAAGCTAACCAGTGGTTTCTAACATTACCCCTTTATAATAACTGGTTTATATTCCCTATGATGCTTCAAAGAAACCCAAACATGTTGTGGTCTAAGTGAGTGAAATCACGGGAAAGCTGAAGGCCTTCAGTCTTGAGAGAATTAAAAATAACACCCTGGTTCCACACAGTTTCCCCAAGTTTGCTGTTTCCAGACAGGTTCACTGTCAGGACACAAGCCAGATAGAAGTCAAGTTTCAAAAAACCAGCTTTTGTTCATATTGCTCAATATTAAGTACAGAGTTTCTGTAACCAAACAAGCCTTTAAAAATTAAGTCGTATTTTTTCTAAAAATCTATTTCATGGGGGCTGGAGAGATAGCTCGGTGGTTAAGAGCATTGCCTGCTCTTTCAAAGGTCCTGAGTTCAATTCCCAGCAACCACATGGTGGCTCACAACCATCTGTAATGAGGTCTGGCGCCCTCTTCTGGCCTGCAGACATGCACACAGACAGAATATTGTATACAAAAAAAAAATTTGTTTCATGTGTATGGATGTCTTGCTACACGCATGTCTGCACCATGTGTGAATGTCTGGTGTCCCAGGAGGCCAGAAAGGCGTGTCTAGTTCCCCTGGAATTAGGGTTATAGATGAAGTGAGCCACTTTGTGAGTGCTAGAAACTCAACCCAGGTCCTCCAGTAGAGCAGCCAGCCCTTAAAAGCACAATATACCTAGACATGGCATTGCATGCCTGTTAGCCTCACTCTGGTGGCTGAGTCTGGAGGATACAGTGAGTTCAAGGCTAGCCTGGGCTACATAGTAAAACCTTGTTTAAAACAAAACAAGGAAAACAAACAAAACTACTGCCAAGAACAAAAGGACATAATATAAAGCATAGCTGATACCTAACATCCAGATTTAAAATATGAACATATAAATTTGCCATCGTACTTTCTTTCCCCAGGGCTAGAGATCCATTCTTGACCTTACTCATGCATCCCTCCCACTGAGCCACACCCTTGCCACAGACCTTTTAAGCACATCTGATCCAGTATTAGCACAGCTATCTCCTTATGGTAGTTTTTGTGTTGTGAATCCTTTTCATCCTTTTATTTTCAGTCTTACAACATCTTAGTATTTTACGTATTTCCCTTATTAGTAGATTGGATCTTATTTTCTCTAATTGGATACTCTAAAATGAAGCATTTGTATTTAAAAGAATTGTAGCTCCATTTGGATTATCTGGGCTATTTTCATATTTACTATGCTTACTAGTAAATTAATTGATTTTCTGATCTTGAATCTGGTTGAATCCCTGATTGATTTTTCATTATTTAAAGAATATGTTATTAGTTGCTGTGATCACAACCATGTAGATGAAACTTTACATATTTAATGAGCAGGAAGTCCAAGAGCAGAGCGTGTTGTGATTAATGGCACTGGTTACTCTGGGTTCTGTAGTCACTTGTGCTGCGTTAAAACCCGTTTGCTTTAAACACTTTTCCAGATTTGTTTTGTTTTGAGGATTTTTGAAACTTTATTCATGAGTGAAGCTAGTCTGTAAGTTACTTTCTTTTTTTTTAAATTTAATTTATTTATTATGTATGCAACATTCTGCCTCCATGGATGCCCACATGCCAGAAGAGGGCGCCAGATCTCATTACAGATGGTTGTGAGCCACCATGTGGTTGCTGGGAATTGAACTCAGGACCTTTAGAAGAGCAGGCAATGCTCTTAACCACTGAGCCATCTCTCCAGCCCCTGTAAGTTACTTTCTTGTACTGTTTATTTCTAGTTTAGGTATCAAGGTTATGATTCTCAAGCTGATGAACTTTCCCAGTTTTTCAGTTATCTGGAAAATGCAATGGTTATTTAGATGGTCCCTAGCTTATGCACTTTGAACATTCAGTAGAAACTGTTTACTGAGTTTGGATCGTCCCTCCTCCGTACCCTGGGTATCTGAGCAGGATATTCTCATGGTCTGGGCAGTTATAAAGTGGGAGGCAGTTTCCAGATCATCAGGGAAGTCCACCTGCACTCTTGTGTCTTGTTTAACTTGGATGTGTGACCCCATCAAAAGGTGGCGACAACTGTGAGCTTCCATGTTTCCTAGTGAGAAGACTTTTAATACCTGACCTAATTCTTTTTATGATTTGTTATGTTTCTAGAAATAGGTATTTCTCCTAGGTTTTGAAATAGATTCCTCTAAAATTATACTAAGCCATTCACCTTTTCAACCTGTACATCTATTTTGAGTGCTCCCTTCTCTCTCTTGTAGATTTGCTCACCTTTTTTTAAAAACCAAATTTAACTTTAAAGAAATCTTCATTGCATTTTGTCTGAATATAGACATGCATGCACAAAGTTTTAAAAAAATTCTTTTAAATACAAGTTTTGCTGAAGAACCACTACAAGTAACATGCTGCAAAAACTGAAGTCCAGAGGGGTAGAGAGATGCTTCAGTGGTTGAGAGCACTTACTGTCTATGCAGAGGGACCTGAATTCAGTTCCCACATCCACACGCTGGCTCACAATCACTGTAATTCCAGTGTTAAGGGCCCCAATGCCCTCTTCTGACCTCCTTAGTCTCCAGGCACACATGTGGGCAACACACATGCAGACAAAACATCCAAACACATAAAATAAAAAATTTCATTGAAACACTATATTTTCACTGTAACTTCTAAATTAGATTTAATCTTATTTAAGAATTCATCAATCTACAAGTTATTTAGAAGTATGCTTTTAAGTTTTCAAATGGATGTTCTATGTTTCCGTGTGTGTGTGTGTGTGTGTGTGTGTGTGTTTGTGTGTGTAACAGTACATGGGGCTTGGTCCTTGTGCAGGCTATGGGCAAGTGTTCTGTGTCACTAAGCCACACCACAGTCCTCTTTAGTTTTTAGGCCGGCATCACTGAGTTGCCCAGCCTGGTCTTAGATTAGTAGTGGGATTTAGAGGTGTGTGTCACTAGGTCCAGACTTCTATGCTACTTTTTCTTGATATTGATTTCCAACTTAATTGCACTGTGCTGAGGACAGACTATCTGTGAGATACGGAGCCTCTGAAATTTTTATTTTCTATATTGGGTTTAATTACAAGGGTTTAGGGTTAAACTTTGATTACAAGCTGTGAAGTGATCAGCATTTATATTTCATGAAGTCCATGTTTTTCATTTCTTAAAGATTTTATTTTCATGCATCTGCATATGTGTCCTGTGTTAAGTACGTATCTGTGAGTGCAGGAACCCGCAGAGGCCAGAAGAGGGCTCTAGATGTCATGTAGGTACTGGGAATGGAACATGATCCTCCGGAAGAGCAGCCAGTGCTTTTAACTGCTGTCCCAAGAATTTTCCCACCTTTCTAAAAAGTTCTATTGAAGGCACTGAACCAGGACATGGACTAGAACGAAAAAGGATAAATCTGTTCCAACGGTAGATGGTGAATAGAGAGGGAGGCAGAGAAAGAGGAGGCTCAGGAGCCGAGCCCTGGGCATTAGGGATGTACCGGATGGGGATGAAGAGCAGAGGACCCCGCAGGTGGAGTGAGCAGCTGCAGGAGATACTGCCGAGGAAGCGTGTGACCTTGAGAAGAGGTGCCAAGCTAGCATGCAGCGCTGGTGAGTGGGTTCCGATGGCAAGAGGAGGCAGAGGAGATGCTAGAGGGTCTGGAGCTAGGGCTCATGACAACACGTGACAGTTTTAAAAGATGAGAATTCTTACAACACACCGACTTCCAAATTAAACACTGGGAAACTTTATCCAGTTACAATAACTCATTACAAAGCACATTGCAATTTATTACACCCCCACTTCAGAATCTTTTATGAAATGTTCTTTGCTATCCTGTGATTATCAGGACAGACTTCCTGCCATTATCTCTGAGTTTAGAGAGGAAAAACTCCAGTGACAAAGCTAATTTTTTTCACTGGCTTTCAAGTATGAAATGTTGTGTCAATGTTTTCCAGACCAAGAATTTCAGTTTTTAATTTTGTGTGTGGGTGTTCTGTCTGCATATATGTCTGTCCACCACTTCTGTGCCTGGTGCTGAAGGCCAGGAGGGGAACAGAACCCTTGGAACTAGAGTTACAGCTATGAGCTCCCATGTCAGTGTTGGGACTTGAACTCAGGACCTCTGGGAAAGCATCCCGTGCTCTTAACTGCTGAGCCATCTCTCTAGCCCACAACTGTGAATCTAAGCTTAGGACGAATATATTTTTTAAAGGTAAATTTATTTATTGTTGGGGGTGGGGGCACAAGCGCCACAGTGCCCGCAGGGAGGTCAGAGGACAACTTTAGGGTTGGTTCTCGCTTTCTACTATGTGGGTTCTGGGGCTTGAACTCAGGTCACAAGGCTTGTTAGCGGATGCTTTACCCATTGAGTCATGTCTGTGGTTCATGAAACCAAGTTAAAAATGTATTTCTGAGTCACATACAGGTAGAAGATCTCCTGTGTTTTCTGATTTGAAAGAAGAGACAGCCATCCCAAGGTATTTCATCATAAGTGAAATGGGAGAGAAAAAGAACTTAACTAAGAATCAGATATATTGTAACTATTTGAAATATAAAGGGATAGGCAAAGTGTTTTCATTCTGGTATCTTATTTATAGGTTTCTGAATTAACCTACAGGTTACTCTAACAGCATTTGAGTATTTTTTTAACTAAAGAAAAGACTTACACCTTTATCATTCCTATGTTCACAACAAGAATTATAAAATGCCATATTCTGTGTTTATGGGTTAACTGAACTGTGTAAAAAAAACACAAAAGGTGGAGAAGTTACACTTCTGTCACATGTGGTCTCTGGGTACAGCAGACATGCATCACTAGAAATTTAAAAGAGCCTTTCTTTTCCTAAATGTAAAGTAAATCTTAAGCATAGGAAGTGGGGTTGTGTTGTTTTTTGGTCTGGTTTGTTTTTTCGAAACAGAATTTCTCCGTGTAGCTTTGGAGCCTATCCTGGAGCTCACTCTGTAGACCAGGTTGGCCTTGAACTCACAGAGATCAGAAGTGGGGGTTTTGAAAGCTGTTACTTACCATGTAAGCTGCCATCAAGTTCAATATTTTCAGACATCATGGAATTATTTGTGCTGTAGCTCAGACCAAGAACCATCTGCAGGTCTGAGAGGTTTAGCCGTGCGGTCAGTTCACCACTTTTGTCCCCAACCTGTTAGAGTGACAGAGAAATGGTGAGCATCAGCTCACAGTGCGCATGCGTGTATGTGCACGTGTATGTGTGAGTATGTACGTGCGTGTGCTAACAATTCCCCACCTGTAGCCACAGCGTTTGTGTTAGAGTGACAGAGAAATGGTGAGCATCAGCTCACAGTGCGCGTGCGTGTATGTGCACGTGTATGTGTGAGTATGTACGTGCGTGTGCTAACAATTCCCCACCTGTAGCCACAGCGTTTGTGTTAGAGTGACAGAGAAATGGTGAGCATCAGCTCACAGTGCGCGTGCGTGTATGTGCAAGTGCATGTGTATGTGTGAGTATATACGTGTGTGTGCTAACAATTCCCCACCTGTAGCCACAGCGTTTCTATGTTAGAGTGACACAGAGAAATGATAAGCATCAGCTCACAGTGCGCGTGCATGCGCTAACAATTCCCATGGTATCTGTTACCACTTCCATTTGCACATGAGAGAAATGAAGCTCAGAAATGGTATCTAAGCTCAAAGAGCCATCAGGTCTAACAAGAGTCCTTGGTTCTAAATATCAACTTTTTCTTTAAAAAACCATATTTCTCTACCCGGATAAGAAGATGGAGTGTTCTGGCAACATCCTATTCCCACATGCCCCAGCTCATTCCACTGTCTCCCCAGATGAAGGCAACACAGCCGCCTGTCTGCTTGCACAGCTGTAAGGCTGCTCTGGAAAACACCCCACAGCCTCCCTGATCTGTAAGCGACAACAGGGCAGGCCGTGGTCTCCTCTGTCTCATACCTCTCTTGAAATGTCCAAGTGCTTTTCAGCAAAATGCATTGCTTGATCATGATTTCCTAGAGCCGTGTATGCGTTTCCTAAACTCCAACATGCTCGTCCTTCGCCAATTCTAAAATGTAATTAAATTCACACGCAGTTGTCTGAAACGAGGTCTTTGTACAGAATAAATACAACCAAGCAGTAATTCAAGGATCAAAGCATGCTTTGGATTTACTTAACCTTTCAGATAGAGCAAGGAGGAGTCCAGACAGAGAAACGGGAATACTCGACACCAAACTCCAAGTCAAATATTAAAACATGGCAACAGTCTTTAAACTATGCCGTGGCCACCTTTAATTCCAGCACTTGGGAGGCAGAGGCAAAAGGCCGGAATTCAATAATGCATCTGCATTTGCCCTAACTCAGGGACAGGGAGCGACTTACCTGTCCTTGAGCTCCTGAGCAATTGCTAAATGCTTCAGATGATAGTCGATGGCCTTCTCGTAGTCCTGCAGCAAAGTGTACGTGTTCCCAAGACTGTAGCAGGACTGAGCTTCCACGGCTCTGTCTTTAAGCTGCCGAGCCAGCAGCAGTGTCTTCCTAAGAGAAACCAATTCGCATAAAGCTCATTTGAAATTCTGGTTCTAAAAGAATCATAATACTGACATTTCCCATCTCTTGTTGCTTTCTGCTGCCTTTTAAACAAGCCTGAGAGTTCAATTTATCTTCCATTACTTTAGAAAGTGAAAACCTGTTTTAAAGTGTAAAAAAAATAGATTTAGACTTTGAGTCTTAATAGCTCACCAAAATACAGCCGTGCTGAAGCATGAGATCAACTGCCTCTGGAGAGCAGAAGTATGTCAAGTATGTAGACGCTCTCTCCCCTCTGTGCTGGCGGTAACTTACACGTGTTCATGCACTGGCTGTCTTGTGCATATATATGTGTGTGTGTGTGCGCATCACGTGGAGGCCAGAGTTGCACCAGGCTGCTGCCTTCCTCATCAGTCTCTGATTTGAGATGGGTCTCACTGACTTGGCCAGGCTGGCTGCCCAGTGAGCCTGGGGATCTTTGTCCTTGCATCTCTACCCCAAGCACTTGAATTACAGGTAACACCATGGTGCCTAACTTTTGAGGTAGGTGCAGGGGCTCGAACTCAAGTCCTCATATTTGTGTAGTGAGTACTTTGCCAGTGAAGCCGTCTCCCTAACCCCAACATCTGTCTTTAATCCTACTGCTATCTTTACCCTCTGTCAACATTTATAATATTTAGGGAAAGTCCTTAAATGTGGGTTTATAGGACTGTGAATCACAGTACTGATTCATAAAAAATACCAAGCATTTTATTTAACATGACACAAATTCTACCTAACACATGCGGTATACTGTCAGCAAGAAGTTGGTGTAACGGGCTAGAACACGGTCTTGGGACAGCACTGTCTGATTCAGACCCTACCCTTGCTCACTGTGTGTTCGAGAACAAGCTACACAAGCCTCCTATCGGTTTTCTCATATATGTATATAGAGGCTGGGAGAAAGACCTCACAAGGCTCTGGGAACGTTGAGATGCACCGGGATGTATGCAAACTGTATCAGTGCTTAAGTCTACAGACGCCTGTGGATTCAATAATCTAAATGACCTTTTCCAGAGTTTCTGCCCAAAGCACAATCACTTCACCGCTCATAACTACTTCAAAATTGAAATATGGTAATAAGATAGGTCTTTTCAAAAACACAAATTTGAAGCTATATACTAACAATGATAATCTTTAGAGCTGTCGCCCTGGGAGGCTGCATGCTTACTCTAGTGGCTGGTCCTCACAGGCAGTTTTGAGACTTCAGAACTGCCGTCAGACCCCACAGTACGGCTGTCTCTGCTCCACCATTACTGTTTGTAAATGATCAGAGATCTTTCTAGGAGCAAATTCAATTACTTAGGTCTGTTTGCCAAGCTGCTGCTTTGTATCCCGAAAAGCATGGGTCACATACTTTTCCACGGGCCTGGAGACAATTCTGAAGGCGCGTTCCAAAAGTATCACTCGCCTGTGTTTTTGGAACAGAGGTTAAATTTCTGAGTTCTAGTCTACTTGCTGTGAGGAGCAACCCGTAACAGCAAACTCGTAACTTCTTTAGTCAAAAAGCCATCAACCAATTTGTAACAGAACTTTTAATATTTAACATAGGTATAACATTTAATAGCAAAGACTTTTCTGTGTTCTCGACTTTAAAATACAAGAAACTTGGCAGTTAAAAATCAACATGTATGCTATACTTCTCACATGACATACTAGGAAGGAAATGTCTTATCTAGTTAATTCAGTGGTTCTCAACCTGTGGGCCATGGCCCCTTTGGAGGCTGAAGACAGATAGCACCATTTAATGTTCTAGATGGACCAGAGCAACCTTAGCTTGTTCTTTCCTCTGTTTTTGAGACAGGTCTCACTGTGTTCCTCAGACTGGCCTGAAACTCACTTTGTAGACCAGGTTGGCATCAAATTCACAGAAATCCACTGCCTTCACCTTCTGAGTTCTGGGAGTAAGGGCATGTGCCAAACACCCAGATTTTTCTTTGTGGAGTAACAAAAGCAGAGAAAATGTATTAAGAGAACTAAGGATGGGTTGGATTAGTGACCTGGGAAAGACATACACCAAAAAGCCAGCACCGAGCTGGCGAGACGGCTCCGTGGTTAAGAGCACAGCACTGACTGCTCTTCCAGAGGACCCAGGTTCAATTCCCAGCACCCACATGGCAGCTCACAGCTGTCTGTAATTCCAGTTCCAGGGGACCTAACACCCATGGCAAAACACTAATGTATATAAGTTTTTTTTTTTAATTAAAGATTCCTTTTTAAAAAGCCAAATTGTTTTTGTTGTTGATTTGAGACAAACTATCTGAATCCCGTATACAGGAATCTCTGAAGTATCAGCACAAACCAACCCCTGTGTGTCTGAAGCCCACTAAGTGGAGAAAACCCTCAACAGTCCAGAAGGTACAGAGCAGACGACCTGAAGCTGGTCAGACCTTGCTACCATCAATTCCAGCCTACTGAGGGCTAGAGGGGCCCTGACTCAGAAGTGCAAGCTGGCAATGCTGCAGGCAGATGAGCAGAGCCTCAGCTTTGGTGGAGTTGATGCTGGGCAGAAGGAAGGGAGAACTGCTGGTTGACGGTGGGGCAGGATGGAAAAATTAATGGCCATTGGTGGAGATTAACACCCTTTTGTGTGTGTGTGAAAACGTTAATAGTCTTCCCACAAGACCTAGTTTTTTTAACCAAAACTTCCTGTTGGCCTCTGTTACCACTAGTAATTGAGTGAGATAAAACACACACCCTACACGCTAAACAGGTTCATAAAGGACCTTAGAAGTACAAAAGGTAATAAAGAACATAAAGGAAGTCATATTCTGCTATTAAGTATCAGGTAAAAGGCCACACTCAATGGCCAATGCTGGCAATGACAGCACTCAGGAGGCTGAGACAGGAGGACTACAAAGTCAAGGCCCCAGTCGAAACTCCCAGAAAAAAAAAAAAAAAAAAAAAAACTTGAGTACAATGTTTCCTGAGCGCAGCGTACCAGGTAAGTTCTTAACATGCCCAGTTCTTGTAACATTCCCAAATCCAGATCCTGATGGCCACACAGATGAGGAGACAGGCCTGGGAGCCTAGGCCCTGCCAACACGCGTCAGTAGCCGGGTCTCACCCCCAAAGCCCACTGTGATTTTACAGGCTACGTAAGGACTCGCTTTACATTGACCCACAAAGATATCCGACTAACCGGTAGTATTCTGAAGCGGTTTCGAATTCCCCCAGGAAGATGTATGCGTTTCCGAGGTTACTGTAGGCTCTCCTTTCGGCAGCTTTATCTCCGAACTCTTTTGCAATAAGGAGCCGCTAGAACATAAAGCCTTCGTCAGAGACACGAGAGAGCTGAAGACCACCCAATCATGGCCCTCCGCTCCGAGGAGGAAGTGGTCCAGCTCCATGTTTACCTGCTCGTGAGCTATAACCGCATCCCTGAAGTTGCCAAGGAGGTAGTGTGTGTTGCCAAGATTCCCAAAGGCCCGTCCTTGTGCTGCTCGGTCACCTAGAGCAGTTAC